TACTACTACTACCACCACCACCAATACCACTACCACTACCACTACCACTACCACTACCACTACCACTACCACTACCACTACCACTACGACTACGACTACGACTACGACTACTGCTACTACTGCTACTACTACTACTCTACTACTACTCTACTACTGCTACTCCTACTACTGCTGCTGCGACTGCTACTGCTACTGCTACTACTGCTGTTACTACTACTGCTACTACTGCTACTACTGCTACTACTGCTACTACTACTACTACTACTACTGCTACTACTACTGCCACTACTGCTACTGCTACTTCTACTTTTCCTTCTTCACTTCTTCTTCTACCACGACCACTACCACTACCACTGCCGCTGCATCTGCTGCTGCCACTGCCACTGCCACTGCCACTACCATTGCCACTGTGAGCACGGTTGCGACTACGACAACGGATGCCGACAACCGCGACTACAACTACTACTACCAATACTACTAATACTACCAATACTGCCAAGACTACCACCACTACTACTACTGCTACCACTACCACTACCACTACCACTACCACTACCACTACCACTACCACTACCACTACCACTACCACTACCACTACCACTACCACTACCACTACCACTAATAATAATAAGAAGAAGAATAATAATAACACTATCTAGTACTACTGGTGGTGGTAGTAGTAGTAGTGGCAGTAGTAATAGTAGTAGCAGTGGTGGCAGCAGAAGTAGCTGTCGTTGTCGTCGTACAAGCAACAGCAGCACCAGGAGCAGTAGCAGTAGCAGTGGTTTTAGGGTTAGCATTGGTAGCATTAGCTTTCGCCGTTGTCGTCGTCGTTGTCGACTCGTGGTGGAAATAATTGTGGTGGTCGTCACGGGTTGATCTGTGGTGCTGCCAGGATGAACGACACGAAAGCTTGGGAGGCCGGCGAGGATCAAGAGTGTTTGGCAGGGACTTTGTAATGGTTCCCTTGTCCACACGGTTGCTTTGTCGAGCCATCACCACTTGGATCCGCCATAGTAGCTATCCATACCGCCACGTATGGGAAATAAGCGTCCTCGAAAGGTGGACACGCTGCGAGGGCACTTCAACAATGTCTCGTGCGTGATGTCTTCGCCTCAGTCGGGTGAAGCATTGTGGGCAACTCTGATGATACAAACGAGGCAGGTCGGCTAGACTGCAAGCTTTTGAACATGGAGCCCCGGCAGGTTCCATCCCAAAAAGGAGCTGATCCTGTCGAACTCCGAGGCACCCCTGCCCCTGCAGGTTCAGGCTGCCGCTGGCTTCTGGTCAATGCAGTGAGTTTCCTTGCTTGATGTACATGGAGCCGTGAGTTGTCCGAGCATCAGAGCCGCACAGACCGGCATAATGTTCGGCCAGGACAGGACGATTCGAGTCTGGGACGTGACGAAGCGGACTGGCATCCACACCTTCAGACGTTTCTCGCCCAGGAAGTGTTGGACAAGCTTGCAGAATGAATTATTGCTTTCAATTCCGGGATCCCTGCGTCCTGGCGAACTGCCGATGCTCAGGCGAGAACGATCGCTTCTGGATCATCACTGCTCATAGGCCAGGAGCTGTGCTTCGGCGAGTTGCCTTTGTCAGCATGAGTTTGTCAGGTTGAGAACCAGGACGTCGGTGCAAGGGAGCATGATCCTAGCCACCTAGGAACAGTTACAGCATGCAAGCCCGTGCCCTCCTTTCCACGACATCTGCAGCACCAACTGACATCACTGCAGCTTCTCTGAAAGATAAGTTGCTTTTTGAAGCCAGACCTGGAAGGTCTTCGAATTTGATTGCCGTGGGGCATGATGCAGGGCTCCTTCCTCGGTGCTTTCCATGAACATGCGATGTGAAGAGCTGACCGCTCTTCGAGGATGGTTGTTTTCAAGCTGGACTGCGAGCGACCCCTGGCGCAGTGCCACGGGCACAGCCTCTTCGTCGTGCAGGATGACCATCTCTCACCCCGACCTTTGTACACATGTCTTAGATTGGTAGGCCCAGCTTCCGTCAGGACCGAGAGGTTCAGGTGGTAGACTTGGACAAGGGCCTCAAAGGTGTGCAGCTTGGGCCGCAGCCTTGGCGTGCTCGCTCTCGGGCAGAAAAGCTGAAGATGTCGGAAGGGACGTGCTTCTTCAGTGTTTGTTTCTGCGGGCATCCGTCAGGGGTTCTGTTTCAGAAGAAGATCCGTTCCACTCGGAGGTTTAGCTTGTTACAGGGAAGATGCAGATTCCCTGATGAGGTCCTGTCGAAGAGCTGCCAACGCGATGACCGCTGGCTTGAAGTCACTGCAGTCGGCTCCTCCGTGTCTTTTCTCGTCTTTCTAATTCGTTCCGACGGCTTTGGCGGTCCGCGGACCACGAACTGCCAGGTTCAATACCTACAACCCGACTGAGACCAACATCTTAGTCTTTTACACGCAGGTGCACGAAGGGCTGCGCCTCACGCATGCCACACATCTTTGATGGCGTTCACGACTACTGAGTAAAGAGACTCAGCAGATTGAGACGAGACTGAGTGGAACGAGACTGAGTGGAATCCTGCATGTCTGCATTGGCAGGACGGTGGTTGCTATGACCTTTTCGTGGGTCAGACTCTCAGCCACGTATGTGCCTCTCTGAAGCTGCCGCTTTTTTGGGTGTCGAGTAGCATTTTCAGGACATAGTCAGCGAAGCTTTGACATGCTTCATAAGACAGAAAGAAAGAAAGTTGTTGCGAGGAGCTAGCAACATCACCGCAGACACGAACATCTCCCCGAAGCAGGGCAATGCACAGGCAGACAGCTGCCTGCAACAGTTGCTGCCAGCACTCGTCGCTGATGAGATCGGAGGCATATCCATGTATCTGCATATTTCTGAATGTGCCTGGGGTGTGACAGCGTTTCAGCAGTGTTATGCTCCTCAATCTGCTTTGGCTCCAGTGCGCAAGAGGCTTACCTGGCCCAGGACTACTAGTAGCATTTCTGAACGTTCGAAGCCTGTACCAAATCATCAACACAGTGCGTTTCAGCGTGGCCATGGGTCACACTGCAACGAAGCTGAAAGACTTTGTCTTTCCGCAAGGGCCTCGTCGGTGGAAACATCACGTTGACATCGGAACAGGTCACAATCATGCCATGCTTTCTGGACTGCCTTTTCAGTCCTTCTGCTCTTTCCTCCTTCGCTTAGGAAGAAGCACCGGAATATTGTGCTCTGTGGCCGAAGCCTTGGTCGTTGCTGAACATCTGGCAGGATGGTTATTTTCGGTTCGGATGTCTTGTTTATGCCGACATGACGAGAGCAGATTGCACTTGCTCTGGAACCCTAGACTAACCTTCTGCATGGGAAATGTCCACGGCTGTAGGCCCCAATGCAGCCGGCAAGACTACTCTGCTCTACAAGCTGAAGCTGCCAAACGTGTTCCGGCAGAATCCGTTGACAGGTTGGTGCTCTTGCTGCGGCTGCTTCGTGCTCGATTAAGGAAAAAACCACCGTGATGCCTACCATTGGCTTCAATGTCGACGCTGGGGATGAATTTGGCAGATACATGGCAAAGCATGTTGCTTGCTCCTCGTGTCCTTCGTGCGTGTTTGTGTGTGTGTGTGCGCGCCTGCTGATCAGTGTCATGTGATTCTGCACGTTCTCAGGAGTCTATCCAGTACAATCTCCAGGTCTTTGACGTTCTCTCCCTAGATGTGATTTTCGTTAGTTCTGTGTGAAGATGAATGAGAGAGCACAGAGCAGCCTGGAGCTTCGATCGAAAGTGTGCTTGATCCGAGATTTGGGACCTCGGTCTTCGAAGCAAGGCGCGGCCTCTCGCAACTTGGCACAGAATGCGTGCAGTCGTGCTTGTAACGTTTTACTCAGCTTCGAGTTATCTTGAGCATGATCTTGCTGTGCCGTTGGCTTTACTAGTTTGCTGCCCGGGCAGTTCTGTCAAAGGGTTTTCCCCCTCAAGATCTCAAGGTCAGGCACTATATCCCGACTTGCCATGCCGTTGCTTTGATGGCCTCTCGGTGGTCTCAGTGCTTGCCGAAGACAGCTTGCTGACTTCGTGCCCTTTCTGAAGTCGCGCAAGACTAAGATTGATGTGCACGACGATGACTGGCTGGATGCTGAGGCCGTGGCTCTTGCTTGGGAACTGCGCAGATTTCTGTAAGCCCGACCGAAGATGGTGGCAGGACTTCTTCGAGCTTATCCTGCACAACCTGGACGATCACAACCTCCATGTGCCGCTGCTCATTTGGGTGAACAAGCCCCCTGGAAGCAGCCTTTACATTCTACTCCTCAATTGCGTTCGGTTGTGAACCTGTAGGGAACTGCAGAGTTGCCTCAAGATAGTCCAAGACAGCATTAGTTCGTCAGCTGACCCCGGTACCAGGATGGATCTACCTGTGAAGGTCCAGCCCCATGAGGTTTGCGAGAGGCCGGAACACAGCAGTTCTGCAGATGCTTACCATCCGGGTATCATCGTCCGTGGGTGTAGCTAGGGACATCGCAGCTCGTGCTCGCCAGACTTTGGTAGCTAGTGGTCCAGTCTTGTTGCCTTTGGAAATGTTAGGACAGGGGCGTTGTTGCCCGTCTGGGCAGTCGGCTCAATTTCCTGTTTCGAGTGCTCAGAACTGCCGAGTCTTCAATGGACAGCACGGGGGTTCTCTTCCAAGAGTCGAGACTCCGGACTGGCAGGCTGAAGCTGGAGCAGCATGCAAGATGCCGTCCTATTCATGTCCAGCCGTGCATCGCGCTGAACGATGCCACTTGGCGGTGCAAGGAAGAGACTCGATCCTTGTGGCAGTCTATAAACCTAGGCCAGGAGTTGTGATTGGATTGAGTGGTATGGCTGCAACAATGGTACAAGCAGGAGTGCCACGGCGAACTGTGGTTGAGAGTTGGGGGCTGGGGTCTGGATATGGAGCCGAGTCTTTGTCCCTGCGGCCTTACGGGCAACAAATCCAAGCCATAAGGATCCGAAAGAACCTGAATAAAAATCAACGATCAGGGCCTCAATTCGCCGAGGAAGGCCTCAAGGAGGGCCTCGACTTCCTCGGCGCTGCCATTGCCGGCGAGATCCCATTTGGGCTTACTCTGGTGGGGTCTTGATTTGTTCTCTCATGTTTGTGGCTTCAGTGTTGTTCGGGGGAAAGCTCTGCCATCAACGAATGTGGCAGCGTCCAGGCTTCGACTCCAGAGACATCCAAGCCGGCATCGACTACGCGAGGAATTGCTCCGTGTCCTGGCTGTGCAACGGTCGCATGGCATGCTTTCGTACTGGGCCCATTTGTCCAGCCAAGCAAAAATCCGTATGACGGAAGAAGCATTCGCGTAATCAAAGTGGAGGCATGCCCGTGCTCTGTTGTCATGCAGCGGGCCGCAACCTGATCCGTTGAGGGGCCTCATGTGCATCTGCAATGCTTCGTGACTGCGTCGTCACTGCCCAGGCCTGCAAAGCCCAGCCCAGCAGGAGGCAAGAAATGCAGTGGGTTGCAACTCGCAGATGAGGTTTTAGGCATGAGATCAGACCAGTGCTTTGCCTGCAGACTGTTGTGGTGTAGAAAGCCTTGCAATGATAATCTCCAGTACTGCGGCCCGCCTTGCAAGGTGAAGTCCCCAAGAGTGACGAGGTCTTCTTGGAGGTGCCTTGCACGCCTCAAGATCTCAAGATCCTAGTTCCGATGACTAGTAGCAGCGTCATCATACAGCGATGCGACGATGCGGGTGCTGGCCCGTCGCGGCCGTGAAGTGAAGGGTTACTTACTACAGCTTGAGCTGGCCCACCATATTCGGTTTGGGCCGCTTTTGTCGCCTGGATGTGGGCAGTTGGGTGAAGAAGAAGCGTCACCTGTCTTCGATAGCTTTCGGTTGTCACGCTGACTGTGGCAGGCTTTCGAAGCTGGAGAACTGCCAAGCTTCGGTCCAAAGGACTCGCTGGCCACGAGCCTGTGCCGAGCAGCACATGACCCTTTGCATACTCAAGGGCCAACATCGCACAAAGCTGACGGTCCGTTGATGCAAGGTTGCTGCACTCGTGGAATCGGACAGGAGATGATGCGCCTGGCCTTCCTGCAGCGCCGTCGCGGTGGCACTGCACAGATGACACTCCAGGCGGCCAAGCTGGCAGGCGCCTTGGCAGAGCAGAAAGTCGTGGGTGCAGTGAGCTTACTATCTTCAATCGATGTTTCGGGTCTCGTGCAGTAATACTGACGGAAATAGCCTTCCAAAAGCAGTAGCGGAGGAGAGGGAGGACTGCTTCTCTGGCACACGAGAAGAACAGGTTGGCACAGCGACATGTTTACATGCCTGTTGTGTGTGATTTCAGGCTATGTCAAGCATGCGGCTCGCCTTCAGTGTTCGACTGAGCTGGAGCATCACTTCAAGCGCCAGCTGGAATCCATCTCCGATTTCCACATGTTCGTGCCGAGGGTCTTTTTCAACAGTTTGTGCCAATGCCCAGGCTACGCGGATGCATTTCTGGGCCTCTCGAGTGCCGCTTGGCCAACCGTTTTCATGGATCCAACTGTTTGGGGGAGGCCCTAGGGAGCGTTTCCGAGGTTCTGGGGGCTGGGTTTGTTTGGCACAAGTCCAGCCAGTATGTTGACATGCACACCGTCTGGTTTCCCGTTGGCAGGTTCGAGACACCCCTGGAGTCTGCCGAGACATCTCTCGCATTCTTAGCAAAGCATCCAGACCTCTTTCCTGAAGACGCAGATGCCCAGGAGCTTGGCTTAGCAATTCATGCGTACAGCCTCGTTCAGCGCGTTCCATTCGCTTCTGCAAGCGGGGCACAGTCTCTTCGAACTCTTGCCTCCTCTGCAGGAAGCATTGGTCGCTGCGGCATACAGCGTCGCTTGTCTCGAGAAATCCAGCTTAGATGTGCAGGTAGAGATGAAACACCGTGGACAGAGCCTACTATAATCATCGAATTGAAGAGGTTTCATCTCTGGAGGTTTTGTGGATGTCATTCTCAATAAAACTTTCAATAAAGACTGGGCCACTCAAGGGCTCCGCATTTTGTCTGCGAGGAGCGTGTCGACACTGACCCCACCTGGGCGCTCGTGGCGCAACCACCGGACCGGCTCCACAGCGGCCGGGAGGTGGAACAGACGGATAGAATTTAGGGTTTAGGGTTTAGACATGGGATGGTTTGCCGATCTACCATGTGAGGCAGATGCGGCCTTTCTTGCCCGAGTCGAAGAGCTCATGATCGAAGCAGATGAGCTCAGCTCGTCACCAGCTCAGTACCGAATCCTTCAGAAATGAGCACCGGAGGTCCAAGCGACACGGGAGACCTAAAGGCCCCTCGCGAAGAAACTCAGCGGAGACACGGATGCATAAGGCTTCCCCACGTACCAGCGCCATCCAGAGCTTGTGCAGTATCAGCCACCACGACATCATCGTCATTCTTGTCGCGGCGTCGTCATCCGCCACCTCCTCATACGGACTTTCAACTCGTCTTCTGTGCTGCCGTGACAATCATGGAGTTTAAGCTCAGTCCAATTTCGTGTCGGTACCATGAGTGACTACGCATCTGAGCCGATGGAGGCTGGAGTGCTTGTTCTCGAGGGCGGGCTTTGCTTTGCGATGTGTTGGTCATATCCACGTGCCTGTCTACCGAAACCTCCCTGGCCGATGAACTGCATCAACGAATGAGTCGTACTAGGTTTTTGGGATGGAATCTTAGCCTGAGTCCTTGAGTTTTCGGTGGGCGAGGACGCTCCGTTCAAGCATGAAGAGTCCTGCCTTAAAGGCCCGGCATCAGAGGAGTTTACTGACTCAGGATGGAGTTCTCTGCTGAAGGAAAGCTCATATTATGCGCAACCAAATATACCACATTCCAGTTGCCAGCCCGTGGTGCGACGTTCTCGAGTGGTGTGGCCTCTGAGGTTTCGATCGTTGGTCCGGTTGGCATTCACCTTGCTCTGCCAGCAGGATCGCAAGGCAACTGGGGGCTAGTCATCCGGACTTGTTGCAGCTCGTCCACTGCTCTCGCTGCTACCTCCAGGGTGTTTCATTTCCCTTGTTTCCTCTTGTCCAGATGCTGTGCATGCTGTGCCCAGTCGGCCATCAAGCGGCTCGACACGGCTCTGCAGAAGCTGGCAGAGGCATCTCGTGGGGGTATTTCCAGCAGCCTGCATCTCACCATTCCTCTGCCCCCTGCTCCTGTCAGGGTTGGACAACACCCGCCGGTGAATCTGCTCTGCGCCCTTTCCATGAGACACGCCAGTACGTCGATGTCTCACTTGGGATCTCAGACTTCGGCAGCCGACACATTCTGACACCACTCGCTCTCCAGGTTGCACTGCAGCTGGCCCACCTGGCTTTGACGCAGTGTCCAGAGTTGAAGACGGGCAGCTTCTCCAAGTTGGAAGAGCGCTGCCCCGATCTTTGTGATGAGGATTGCGCCCGAGCACGCAAACTGCCTGCCAATCCTCATCCAAAATTGCTGACTCTTGCTGCAGGATTGCATCTTCAAGTACTACTCCGAAGAGGCCGCTGGCCAAGCAGTTACGTCCTCTGTGACAACATGTCCTGCAGATGTTGGCGCTTGATGGTTCTTGAGCCGAGAGCCAAGGTTCTGCAAAACGGCCGAAAAGCTTTCGTCCCCCCGGATCGAGAGCCGTTGCCCTCCGTGGTGAAGGTCCCCGACCAGAGCCCTAGCTGCCTTGGTCTTCGACGAACCAGTCCTAGATTACTAAAGGCGAAGTATGTATCCATGCATGGTGTAAGTGTACAAGTATCTATATCTGCTTGAAAATACATATATGTACATAGAGATATACAGTAGCCTCCCCAAAGAGCTATGTGTTTATGCTCCCCAAAAACCATGCGACAGTCATTGAAATGATACCACTAAGTCATGCCAAGTATACCCCCCCTCCAACTCGTCTGGATGAAACCAATGACAGCACGTGAGCACGGATCCGGTCACTGTCTTCCTGCTCGCCAGGGCCTGGGTGCATTAAAGCTTAAGTATTCAATGCAGAGTTCAATGCAACCGGGCCCTTTTTCCCCGGAACCAAGAAGCAAGATGCCGGGATTTCTCGATTCTTGGCTCGTGATTCCTGGTGGTTTCCGGCTTTCGCTTCTGGCTGTGGATGTCAAACTTCATAGCTTTATGGGTTTGTTTGTCTACCTCTGCCTCCTTGGATTGCGTGCTGTTGCCCTTCCACTCGGGCCCTTTCCTTATTCGAGTAGATCCCTCCGATCCCTAGACCCCTCTGCACCTGTCGCCGCATGTTTTGAAGTCTTGTTTGCAGCATAGCCCCTACTCATATCACCAAAGCCACCTAAACTAGGAGTCTCCTTCTGCCGTCCTAGATTCCTCCTGTCATGGTCTGTATGAACCCGGTAGACCGTCACACTTAGGGATGTATGCAAATGATATGCCTGCTGCGAGGCAGGGATTTGTCTCTTTCCATGGTGGGGTCTAGGAAGTTTAAAGATGTCGGTATACATGGCTAGGTTTTCCAACTGTTGTCGAAAGGCTTGGCTTGGCTTCGCTGGGCTTGACTCAGCTTGGCTTGGTTTGGCTTGGCTTAGTGAGGTGAGTTTGGGGTTTGGCAGCACACATCGCCTTTTTGGGGTTTAAAGATTGGCAGCCAACATCTCCAGATTCGGGCGTGGCAACCAACCCACCGTTTTCGGGTTTATAGATTGGCAGCCAACGTCTCCTTTTAGGGTTCAGGGCGTGGCAGCCAACCCCCCGTTTTCGGGTTTATAG